AAAAAGAAAAGACACATTAAACGCCCCTCCACACACCCACCCCAAATCTCAGAGAGAGCACGTGTGAGCGTCTGAACAGATACTCAAACCAGCAGTTTCCATCTCACCAGATCCCACAGCAAATATGTTTAAGGAAGCGTTAACCATCTTCCCGGAGTGCACTGATCCTAGCTTTGTAATGTGCTGCCCAGAAGTCTTGAGCCACTCCTAAATCTCTGTATATTTTGTACCCGAGGCGCAAGAACGTCTTGTACTTTTTAAAATGATCTCGAGAAATAGTTATTCAGTTATTTTCTGAAGGGCTTTCAAGGTGTTTCTTTGGGCAGTGGCTGCTTTTTCTCGCATTTTTAGTCCACCCTTTGAACCTAACCATGTTCACACAATGTTTATTTGCTAAGCTACTTAACACGGATCTATTAAATATTCCCAACTCAACGGGTGAACCAGTGCTATGTCTACACATAACAAACAACAAAACAAAAAATCTAAACCAACAATAAAAAGTTTTACATCTTAAAATAACCATAAACTATTAATTATAAGAATTTTGTGCCATCGGAAGACTGAGATTGTGTAAAAAATAAAAATAAAAAACAAAAAAAACCGACTGTTGCAGCTAATCATCTTAAACACGCCTGTGCAATCCAACAACTGCAGCTCCAGCACGGCTCACTTCAATTTTCTGATACTCTAAACTAGCTAACAAGTTTTAATAATCTACAGACAATCTACACAATCTCTTATGGGTGACAGCAGAATTAAACTTACCTGACAGAACAGTGTTTTTATGAACAGTGATGATCAGTTATTCGTAAGGCACGTTCGTCAGTAGAGGGTCCTTTCCTGTAGTCTGAGCCCTTCCAGACAAAACTAATCAAAAGAGGAGAAGCTTCAGGATAAAGATTTTGCGTCTCGCAACAAGACGAGGGCTAAACTTAAGTTTATAGGTGATAGCAAATGCTATTGATATGACATGGATAAAAATGTTGTTTTAATAAATTACCGAAAACCCTAATGAATAATGTCTGGGTTCTCTATACTCAATCTTTACTGTCTGCAAACGTCATCTCCAAGCGCCGGGTAATTTGACAGCCGGGTCCTTCCTTCTTCTGCAGCACCCGGCGATCTGGAAGCTTCTAACTAGGGTGCTGGTATCGGCTCCTTAATCTGAGTCCATCCGAAGCCGAACTGTGGTGTTTCAGCGCCAGAGTTCACTAGTCTGACTCTGAAGACTCCCCTTAACATTTCCCATCGATTATAAAGTCAAGATGCCTGAAGCGATGGCAGCACCGAAGGCTTCCAACGGAGGCAAAAACAAAGGAGGGGCGTATGTGGACCGCGACAAACCGGCGCAGATTCGCTATAGTAACATTTCTGCTGCCAAAGGTATTTTGATATAATCATAGTTATATACAAGCAGCTAATATGGGACTCAGGGTTTGTACAGCAACCTGCTCTGCTTGTTTGCTGGGCACCGTTATTCCTGGTCCTATAGACGGTACCTTCCGCCTAGTCCAAATCTCATTCATTATAGTTATACTCAGGTTGACGGCCTTTCTTTGCTATATAAATACAATACAGCGGCCATAACAGATAATGGTCAGTTAATATTTTACAAGAATCCAACATATTTATCTAATGTTGAATAAACCATTATGGGTGCTTGTATTACTTTTTCCAGATTAGTTAAAAGAAGCAAAATAATACATGAATAATAATGTAATAATTTGAGGGTTTAATTAAAAAACAAAAAAAGAGCACTACTGAGCACTTGCTACAGGATGCTAATGATTCAGCACAATCTCTTCATTGTTGGGTTGTAATGCTGCTGAGCTGTCAGCTGAACTAGATTACACATTTTTGTAGTTTTCAGTAAGATCCCTTTGATTTTAATAGGTAATGTACAACATAGAGGTTCCTGCTATATCAATAATTACTTGCTTGACTTGGTTATTACCTGTGTTCTCATCCATCCCTTTGTTGTTTGTTAGCTGTTGCAGATGCCATCAGAACAAGCCTGGGCCCCAAAGGCATGGACAAGATGGTCAGTGAACAGATTTGATGGCTTTACCCAGGTCCCTCATCACACCTGTATCTAAGCGATGGCTGTTGTTTTTGTTTTCAGATCCAGGATGAGAAGGGTGATGTAACCATTACCAATGATGGGGCCACCATCCTGAAGCAGATGCAGGTGCTCCACCCCGCTGCTAAAATGGTACGTTACAGCAGCCCGCACAGAAGCTTTGCAACTAAAGCTGACCTATGAGCGCTCCGTTTCTAAGTATAATTTTAAGCTTCGTTAAAATTTTCCTTCAACAGTTTACACCAAACACTGTTGTTAATTCGGTGATTAACTCATATGGCCTGAATCAAATGTGTTTCAGCTGGTGGAACTGTCCAAAGCCCAAGACATTGAGGCTGGTGATGGCACCACCTCTGTGGTGGTGATAGCTGGAGCGCTGCTGGATGCCTGCTCCAAGCTGCTGCAGAAAGGTGAGTGCGCTAGGGGATCGAAAAATCAAAAATGTGATGCTACAGCTTAATTTTTTTTCTCTTTTTTTTAAGAGTAATAGTAGAATTATTTCCATCTTTTTTGTATCTTGTAGTTTGTTTTTATGTGCATTTTGAATTCACGCACTGGACATGGAGTGTAGAAATGTTGACTCCCTTTACTTTGCGAGGCTTATTTTGCACAGTAGATGAACTTAAGATGGCGCTAAAGCCCAATACAAGATAAATAAGGATCATTTTTGAGCTGTGTATCCGGAAAAGTTGAAGAATAACAATATGAACCTTTAATTGAGCACAATTGAGCCCGTTTAATTACTTGTCTCACCTGCCAGGTATCCACCCCACCATCATTTCGGAGTCGTTCCAAAAGGCAGTCGATAAGGGCGTGGAGGTGCTAACGGGCATGAGCCAGCCAGTGCAGCTGAGTGACCGTGAGACGCTGCTCAACAGTGCCACCACGTCACTGTGCTCCAAGGTGGTGTCACAGTATTCAAGCCTGTTGGCACCCATGAGTGTGGATGCTGTTATGCGAGTCATTGACCCAGCCACAGCCACTAGTGTCGACCTACAGGACATCAAAATCATCAAGAAGCTTGGGTGAGTGTTTTTGTTTGTTTTTCTACTCTTATTTAAGCAATTTCTTCTGATTTTTGCTAGGCTTAATCACATGTGTGTGTTGTGTGTTTAGAGGCACCATTGATGACTGTGAGCTGGTAGACGGCCTTGTGCTGACCCAGAGAGTTGCCAACACTGGTGTGACCCGAGTGGAAAAGGCCAAAATTGGCCTTATTCAGTTCTGTCTGTCCCCTCCCAAGACTGATGTGAGTCGCTTGATGAATATCTGCTGACAAGAAAACCCTTTCTGCCTTATTTGTTATGCTCAGCTTCAGATTGTAATAGTGAACTACAGTTCTGCTGACTGCTTCAACTGCTATCGTTGCTCCTTTTCCAGTCATACAGAAGAGAAGACATTGTTTTCAGTATATATAAAACACTGTCAGTGCTGTTCTTGTGAACCATTGTGTATTCCTTCAGGAAAAGCCTTCTTTTTCTGACCTTCTGTTGGGTTTTTGTGGGGCATGTAGATGGACAACCAGATCGTGGTGTCAGACTACGCCCAAATGGACCGCGTGTTGCGGGAGGAGCGTGCTTACATCCTCAACTTGGTAAAGCAGATTAAGAAGGCTGGCTGCAACGTGCTGCTCATCCAGAAATCCATCCTCAGGTATGCAGGGAGCGAAGGACACGAGAAAAACACACTCTGCTATGCATTTCAGTCTTCTTCTGTCACTCTAACAACTGACTGTCATGTAACAGAGATGCTCTTAGTGACCTCGCCCTGCACTTCCTCAACAAAATGAAGATCATGGTGGTGAAGGAGATCGAGAGAGAGGATATTGAGTTCATTTGCAAGGTTAGTATTGTCAAATGAGCCACGGCTATTTAATGGACATATAGATCTACATCACATTTGGCAGCACTTTATACTTAAAAAGTTTTTATAGTAAACTAATCATCAGTTAACAAGATTTGTACACTTTTAACTTGTTAGCAAGTATTTAGTTTTGACAACTGTGTGTAGCATTGCACACCATTTAACTGAAGCCCCACCCCTTCTTTAGACTATTGGCACCAAGCCCATCGCCCACATCGACCACTTCACTCCAGAGATGCTCGGCACTGCAGAGCTAGCAGAGGAAGTCAACCTGGATGGGTCCGGCAAACTAGTCAAGGTACAGTTGAGTCTTCGCTCAGAGAAACTCAGTTGATTTTTTTCGAGTTAAAGGACACAGACTGTTTCACTTGCAGCTGAGGAAAAAATGAGCTGAAACAACTCTGAGCCTCGCTTGCCACTTTTTGCAGATCACAGGCTGCACGAGCCCTGGGAAGACGGTGAGCATTGTGGTGCGCGGCTCCAACAAGCTTGTGATTGAGGAGGCAGAGCGCTCCATCCATGATGCTCTGTGCGTCATCCGCTGCCTGGTCAAGAAGAGGTCAGTCGGTTATTTCTGAAGAGTAAATTTCATTGTAAAAAAAAATTCTTAACGAACCTGAAACATACCCCTCCATGCTGGCTCACATGGCAAAGTTGGACTGTTCAAGAACACCTTTAGATACAGTTACAGGGACGATTGCCCTCTGACAAAGGCGCTTTTGCACTGACTCATCCTGCAGGAGCGTAACAAACAGAGGAACAGTATTTAGGAAAGCTCGCCATTATTTTCGCAATGGGTTGCTTCTGCAACTTTGATGGAGAGCATTCAAACAGATGTATTCTTTTTTTTTGAAAACGTATTTTTGTTGTTATTATTTTATTTTGATCCTAATTTCTCTCAGTAATAGGATCAGATCCAATGGCTTTTGCATTTTTGCCTTCTCTGTCTCTCAGGGCTCTCATTGCTGGAGGTGGTGCTCCAGAGATTGAGCTGGCTGTGCGTCTGGCAGAGTACTCACGCACACTGGCTGGCATGGAGGCCTATTGTGTGCGGGCATACGCTGATGCCCTGGAGGTGATCCCATCGACGCTTGCCGAGAATGCTGGCCTGAACCCCATCTCCACTGTGACGGAGCTCCGTAACAGACACGCACAGGGAGACAAGATGGCTGGCATCAATGTTCGCAAGGTTGATCTTTTAATTTATTAATTAATTTATTTTTTAAAGTTAGCATAGCCTGACTTTGTGGAGAAGGTACTGCTAACAGAAGTAGATATTTAAGCTACTTATCCAATAAAAATGTTCTTTAGTTGCTCTCCAATAAAACTGTTGTCTTGTTTGTTTGTTTTTTGTTTTGTTTTTTAGTGCATTATTTTTTTTTTTCCTGTTGAATGTCAGTGTAAAATGCATTTTGAAATGTGAACAATTAGACACAAAAGACACTTAATTTTACTCTAAGAACATTTAATTTACACACCAAACAATTTGTTGTATGTGCAACAGGGAGGGATCTCCAACATCCTTGAGGAGCTGGTGGTGCAGCCTTTACTGGTCTCCATCAGTGCACTGACACTGGCCACTGAGACGGTCCGTAGCATCCTGAAGATTGATGATGTGGTAAGACTTAATCTTTTTTTTTTAAAAAACATTTAAAGTGAAATTATTTTAAGATCATTTCTTGTATACTACCTTTGGCTTTTTGCAAAATCTGAGTATATTACATTACAGTTCAAACCAGTGGAAATGTGTTTTCTTGTTGCAGGTGAACACCCGATAGGTCTGTCCATTGAGTTTTGTCACTAAGCCTGCTCACACTGCAAGGGATCAGAGGACTCTGTTAACACCATTCTGTTCAGATTTCCACTGTAGTTGTTACGTTGCATAATTTAATAAAAAAACAACTTGTTTTTTTTGTTGACATTCATTCCCTGTCTGTGTGATTATATCTTTTAAAGCAAGTTGAACCTTTACATCTTGGCATTTTGTCTTGTTTCTGTTAATCTGTATAATCAGAGCATGCAAGATACCTGTACCTGTCATATGTCTAAGTAGCAAACTTGCACACTGAAGATTACAGTTAAGAATAACAATAACTGCTAGATTTCACCACTGAATCAAATAAAAGGCATTATTTTTAAATATCCATCATGCAAAGCAGACAAGAACATATAAGTCTAAAAAAAAAATCAAGTAGTGTTCTAGCTAATTTGTATAAGTAATCTGCATCACAGATGCAAAGTACTTAAGATTTAACCATATCTTTAGATTAATTTATTTTGGGGTACTGCAATTTTGTTGTTTAGGGTACTTCTGGAGGATTCATTTTTCCACATCCATAACTTATGTCATAGTATTAATCAATACATTAAGGCAATTGCAACATTTTTTTGTTCAACTATTCGTTTCACAAATTCTGGTGCTTTTAATTTGTATGGAGCCCAAGGCTTTTCATTTCCTGCCACTCTCCGTCACTTCCCTCCCAACCAAGCTTCTCTGTTGCTAAGGACTTCACTTGCTACCTGGATGTGGAAAGAGAGCGAGCTTGTCATCTCGTCTGAGTACTCTTACTACAAGTGATTTTGTGACGCAACTTAAAAAATAAATAATAAAAAAAAGCAACATTTACAAAAACATGGCAAATGCCCACCGGAAAAACGTTTTGGTTACTTCATGTTTGAAAACGCCGGTAGACCCGCACACCAAAGCGCCGTTAGCTTCGTATGAACGCGAGAGAGTCCTGCCGTGCATGGTTACAGGTCACGTCGACAACCGGGATTACGAGAAAGAGGTAATTTTTTTTTACCGAGTTTTAATTGTTGTGTACCGATTCCGAATATCAATTACAACACCTGCCTTTTGTTTAAAAAAATCCCCTAATAATCAGCCTGCCAGCCCCCTTTTTACTGACATGTACCGTAGTTTTCTGGTTAATTTACAGTTAGTTAATTTAGACTTTTCCTCAATGGTGGAGGAAAATCCACACAGAGAGTGAATTACTTACATGCTGGAGAAAAAATCGCAGACTAAGTCACTGTAAATACTTTAATCCTGCAAAAAAAAAAAAGTAATTTATTGTTCCAACAATTGTTAAAATTTATTTTTAATAATAATAATAATTTAGTAATAGTAATTTAACATAGATAGACCCCCGGTCATTCTATACAGACCTTTACATTTATTGTTACTGGGATCTTTAACATATTACAATTTGAGACATTGTATTTTAAATATTAAGTTTAAACTGTCTGAACAGAGTAGAATCGGCTGTTTGTATTTAAAGTTTTTTTTTCTCCATTATTATCCAGACTTTACTTTGTGAAGTAAGCCACACACTGTTTCTGATCTGGTTCCAACAGGCTGTTGACCGTTTAAGGTCAGCCTGTGTGGTGGAAGGGATTTGATCTGTTTAATTTGTTTAGCATGCTATTTGTGGACTTCCATCTCAGCTACATTATCAGATGTCACATGTAGTGTATAATCCTAAAATCACTCATCTTCTGCTGTTCTTCCATCAAGGATCTTGATCATTTAGTAAAAAGTTGTGAAGGCAGACACCTGATGTAAATTGTATGTCTGCCTGTCGTGCCTCAACATATGGTCAGTGTCGCTGCTGTGACAGCATAATAGGCTTAGTCCTGGAGGAGTGCTCAATGAGTGGTGGTTAAGCCATTATGTTTGAAGATGTAGGAACGTGAAATGGATCAACGTGACAGCTTCACAATTCGTATATTTATTCCATGCAACATTTAATATACCGAATCCAAACATATATTGTTCAAAAAGTTATCTAATGATGACCTATTCTTCTGTATTTTGCCTCTTGGACTCTTCTAGAATAGCTTTGCATGATTCACACTCAGATATTACCTATTCATCTTATACTGGGACTTGATACAGCCCCTCAGACCATCCTCTGTCTGAAACAAGCTGTTTTAGCTCCTCTCCCTAATAAGCCAGCAAACTTTCTCATGATTTGCTGCCGTTTGCAAATTGAAGAGATAAACAGCAGCTGGAAGAAGCATCTGAACCCACAGTAAAAGTGTTGGTGAGATAAGGATATCCCCTATCACTGACACACAGAGCCAAAAACAAAACGAGAACGGAAACATCTCATGTGGCTCACAGAGGTTACTTGTACATTACCTGACCTCATTATTGTTATTATGACTCATTATTAACTTTGATCATATTTAATATAAGCATCCACCACTGGAACAGCATATCCATCCATCTTCCTCCACCTATGCAAGGTTGCAGGGAGGCTGGAGCCTATCCATGTTACCATAGGGCGAGAGGCGTGGTACACCCCGGACAGGTCACCAGTCTGTCGCAGGGCAGCGTATAAGTACAGCGTATTTCAGTCACTTATTATATTTAGATATAAAATGGCTGCTGATTGCAGTATGAGATTGTTGTGACTATTTCAGATGGAGTATGAGGACTCAGGCTCTGATTACTGTGATGAGGACTGCGCTGGGGCAGGAGGCCCTTTCATGATAAGCAACTATAGAGCAGCGGGAGATCGCCTCGACCTCAGTCAAATCTTCTTCTCCAATGAGGAGTACTACAGCAAGCTGGAGGAACTAAAGAAGGCCCACCTGCACACCATGGCAGAGCTGGAGAGCATGTATCAGCAAAAGCTGCAGCTCAAGTCCATGGAGCCATTAGATGTGACAGTGATGGATGGAAGGCAGAGGTGGGTGGATTTTCTTCAATATTATGTAAGGAACTAAACACTTGTTCATTGTCTTTCTGTATGTAAAGAATTTTTGGAACAACACTAAACAGACAAAAAACCCCACAAAACATATAGTGAAGCTATGCAAATGTGAACCTGTGACCATAGTCCTTTTCTGATTAGAGAAAAGCACACAACTTTTGTATCCAACAATAAACCACTGATATTGACACTTTTGACAATTTTAAGAATTTTATGAGGCTTTTATATAGTTGTAATTTATTTGTTTAGATTCTAGGCTGCTGACTGGACAAAATAAGCTTTGAGAAATTGTGATTGACATTTTTCACAGCATTTTCTTAAACAAAACTAATAAATTGGTATTATTATTGATGACTTTTATTCAAGTTTGTTTTTTCTTCTTCTATTTTTTTTTGTTTTTTAGACTGCCGTGGGTTCATGCTACTGCTACAGCTTCCCACTGTCATTTGAGGAAGTCTCACTCTGCTGTTGAACTCAGATGGGTCTCTGGGCATTCAGACTCCTCAGATGAAGATCAAACTGCCGGCAACAATGTTGAGAAAGGCATACTGTTTTCCCCCAAAGAGCACATCAAGAATATGTGGAAGGACTTTAAGCTGTCCCCTTATCATGCCCACCTGTCCTCTGCTTCGCTGCGCAGTCTAACAAGTGACCAAAATAAACCACAAAAGAGAACAGGGCACAAGAAACAGAGGAATAAAGACAGAGAGCGGGAGCACCGGAAAGATAGAGTAACCGTCCCAAAACCTTTCCAGATGACACTACGTGAGGCTGAGCAGCGAAAGCGAGGCATAAAGACACGCTCAGAGATCGAACTGGAAAACGTGGAGCTGCGACGGCAACTGGAAGAACTGACAGAGTGTCAGAGGAAGTTCCGTGCCAGCCCCGTACCTGCACACATTCACCTCCCACTTTATGATGAGCTACAAGAGCGCAACGAGGAACGACGGCGAGCCATGCGAGAGCGAGAAGAGCAGCATCTCCGGACCATACAGAAGCCATTCAGCTTCTTAGAGCGGGAGCGGCTGAAGAAGGAGCAGAGACAACTACGTCACCTGCAACCATCTGATCAGGAGAAAGTGAAACCCTTCAAGGCCAAGCCTGTGCCAAAGTCTGTCTACATAGCAGCATCAGGGGAGCAGATGAAAGAGGAGCAGCTGTATCGGTGTATCAAGATACAGATGAGGGCTGAGGAGATGCTTCACAATGCTTCCATGCCTCCGAGCATGCTCAAACGACGGCTCAGTGAGCGGAAGAATCGCAAAGATATCAAAGCTGGAGTCGGGGAAGGTGACGGCTTTTCACACAGGCCGCAGATAAACAAAGAGGTACCAGATTTCAACGCCAGTTATAGGCGCTTCCAGAAGCATCTGGAGAAACGAAAAGAGATAAAGCCTACGACTGCGTGTGAACCATTTGAGCTGAAGACATCACAGATTTCCTCACACCGGGAACGGATCCTGACTGATATCGAGAAGGAGCAGAGTAGCCCTCAAACACTGCGCTGGCCATACATCAGCCCTGGGCCAACCCGGACGCCAAACTCAAGCCTCTGTTCATCCCTCTCAGGTAGCCTGGAGGTCCTCCCTGCCAAAGTCACAGATGCCACAAAAAAGCGCCATGAGGCCGTGAGGTACCACCTTAGGGCACCAAAAGCTTCCATCATTTTAGTAGAGACAGTGAATTGTCCCATTTAGACAAAGTCCTCACCAGCTGTCTTCCGTGATTAAAAAGAAGGCCTCCTCCCAGCTTCCCCTGCAACCCTTATAACCAAATACACGTATATAGCTTGTTTTTGCACCCATAAGCTTAATTACCTGCACTACCTGTAAACATTCCTACATCCATGACCAAATTTTCTACCGGAATAGGAAGGTGCTGCAGCAGAGGAAGAAGGCTGAGGAGGAGGAGGAGCGGTGGAGGGAAAGGCAGATGCAAAGGGAGAAGAGGCTGCAGGGGCTAGTTCTGAAACGTGCCCAGGCCAATGACCCCCACCTAGCTCTTTCACAGACCCATCCAAACAAGCTCAAAGAGTTCAGGTATGCTGAAAACAGCGCTACTTTCACTCTAAGCTTTGCTGAGCAGGTTTTTGCAAGAAACGCTTGGTTGCAAGTTCCTATGGTCATGCAGTACATTCAAGTTGAGTTTTATATTTGTCTTTAAGTAAGGAAATGCACTTTTTTTCTTTTTCCATGTTCTTTAAT